ATATACTATTAAAATATGGATTATTAGCTACGATTTTATGCTATACTAATTGGTATAAAATAAACAAAGAGTAATTTAAAATGTTTGAATGTAAGCCACTAAAACCTCGTGACATGCGCAGTAAATGATGCCCTGACAAATAGGGTTAATACAAATTGTAAATAATTACAATTTACTTACATAATTAATATAATTAGCGCCTAAACCACTATTAAATGGTATTAAATGAACGGTCTCGTCGGCACTGGAGCCCCCAGTGGCACAGCGGTATGTCTGCGGACTTACAACACTAGAATCCGGGTTCCGATACCCGTGGTGGGCAGAGCACAGATAGCCCATTGTGTAGCTTTGTGCTTAATTACAAATAAACAATCGGCACTGGATAAGCGAGATGTAGTGAGGTTGACATACGAAACATATTCTTCTCTATTTTCACTCATACTCATAATCTATTTTCACACTAGATTATAGACTCATGATGGTATTACATATTCATGCATTGCGTGCCATCTTTTGGTGTAAATCAGTATTTTCGATGACGAGGAACCCACTTTGAGACTAATAATTGTTGGAGATGGCTTTAATGGGTAATGACGAAAAACTTTAATATAAGTTTTTCTTCATTACCCATTCAAGCCGTCTCCAACCATTATAAATCAGTACTTGTTAGCTTTGAAGGAAAATATTAATGGATCTTACTTTTGTTGTTTTCCATCGATTTTATTTATGCCTGAGATAGAAATCCAAGAAGAGAAAGAATTAGTACAATTTTTCCATTCTTATTTCATATTCAAATATTTTTTATAATTAAACATCTGATTATTATTCAAAATACAAACCTCTTATTGTTTAAGAGGTTTTGATAGTTATTTTTCTATAACTTGTGTAGCCAGTTATTTATGTAAGTAAAATGCAAACCTAATATATTGATATTTTCCGAATGCCGTCATATGGCGGTCAATGCTGATTAATTTTTGTTCTGGAAATTAAATCTAAATACATGTTTTATGAACATGTTTTCTAAAAATTAATTGTATTACAGTAACAATATATGTAAGGAGAATGTTTATTCTTTTTCTAATATTTCACGAAAAGAACATATCGTCCTTGATTAGAATTTTGACTTGTGTATATATTTATATTATGTTCAAATCTTCTTTATGATAAAGTCTTATAGATTGAACCATGCGAAAATACTGGTTGTCGAAGAAATATTCCTAGATGGCTAAATATCTCACTCTGCGATTTATTAATTGTGATGACAAAAGCAAATAATTTAGGGGTGAAGGGAAAATGCACGAATATATAACTTTAATAAAAATGCTTACACATTTTTTTATACTTTTTTTAAACCTCTTACCTAAGTTGGAAAACATGAATAATAATGTATTGTAGTTCCATCTATTGGGTTGAAAAGATTTTTAAGCTTTCTCTAAATATGATAATAAATGGATAATAAAAAATCCTGACTCAACTGAATTTTAATGCCACGGTTCCATATGATAGCAAACACCCAATTTTTGTAATCTAATGTTAACAAAAAATTCAAATCTGTAACTTAAACTATCATGCTAGTCTGGTTTTCCTAACATTTTATGATCTTGCCCTAAACATGATGAGTGAATAATTAAAAAAAGTTTAAAAATTCACACTCTATCTGGATTTGAACGCGAGACTTTTGCTTTGGACTAATCACTGAGACCCTTTAAACGTTACCAACAATTTGAATGACGAGGAACCCACTTTGAGACTAATAATGGCTGGAGACGGCTTGAATGGATAATGAAGAAAAACTTTAATATAACAGCAAATGTACAACGTTTCGACAAGGTTTTGTCGTCATCAGGTAGCTGATGATGACAAAACCTTGTCGAAACGTGGTACATTTGCTTTTATATTAAAGTTTTTCTTCCTTACCAACAATGCGAGCGTTACGAACAGGGATTGGCTTATATATATATATATATATATATCCATTTATTTCTTGTTATTTTATAATGAAAATGCAGTAATATTTTGATATTTTGCACACAAATAAAAATCAATAAACTAGAAATTTGTGCTTTAAAAAAGTTATAGTGCTAGCATGATAGTTACTATATATTTATGCCGAACTGTGTGTGTGTGAAGGTCCATGACTCATGACTATCCCGTTGCTGCAAATTTACGCTCCGCACTGTAAGGCCTGCGGTATAAGATCGATGGTCAAATCCTACTATATGATTAGAGTAGCCTAATAGATGGCAGTGATTTCTGTTGACTAGATGCCTTCCCTCTAGTCTGTCAATTCAAAATTAGGGATAACCTTTGTGTAGCTTTGTGCGTATATCCGAAACAAACAAAAACTATATATGCAATAGCACCTGCATTACAGATGGATACAGCATGGCATTACCAGTTTATTCTTTACGAAAATATAAAGGATATGAACGTCAAGTATAAAACTAAATATTTTACTGTAGATAATTGACGCACACAATATTTATTTACATATCTTACAGCATTTCTGTACCTTTACTGCTCCTTCCAGAAATCCAAGAATTTGAACGAGAGTTACCTATGCTCCTGAAATTTTACAAAAAAGTCAATCTCCGCTCTTTCAGCATTCAGCTGGATTTTAAAACTCTGTCAGCTAAAGGTTGGTACCAAATTTATATTAAATGTCAGATTCATTGAGGAAAAAGACATAGGAGACGTTTTCAAGTTCAGTCAGGTTTTGAATGTCTGCTAGAGAAAGGTGGAAAATACAGAGCGTATATTTTATATAGTTTTATATAAGTGTATATTCAGTAAGAAAAGTAGACTGTCTTGCGTTAACTGATTGTAGATACTAGTTTAGTTGATAGTAACATGTGTAACATATCTAAATAATGAACCAGTTCTGTTTCTGAAACGAAGGGCCCATGCTTTCATGAACCTGTGATGAGATCGAGAAAACATTATTTTCAACCTAAATCATAAATGTTGTTTTATTTCTTATGTGTAACGACTATATATCTTCTTAATCAAAAGCTATAACAATCTGTATTATATACATTTTATAGGTGCTAGATGTCGCAGTTTACTTAGTTTGCGTCTTTCTAGTAATATCAAGTAAAATTATGTTGCTATGAGTTGATGTCGCATGCATGAAAGAACTCTGCCATAAAAAACTAAGATCGTTTCTGCCTGTTGAAGCGGGCACCTAATAAAGCTTTTCTGCGTCGATATATTCATACTTAATGGTATTTAAATATAGCATATCATATGTTCCCGATGATTGATCATTTTTGTTCTCTATTAAGTACTAAAGTTTGTGAGCATCAAACCCAGAACAAATGCACCTTACATTCCGCGTGTTTTGTTACTTGGACCACCAGGAGCTGGGAAGCAGACACAGGCTTCACTTCTTAATGCCAAGTATGATTTTGTAAAAGGTTAGTGTTTAAGTAAAACATATTAAAGTAAATAAAACGTTGTATTACATCTAGTTTCTACTATAAAAAGGTTCAAAAACATCCATAATGTAACAGAATTAAAAAATATTTTAAAAGCAGGACATTTCGAGAATACTTATTAGTGTGCTCACAATTGAATATTTTTTAGCCAGGAGGGTTCGGGAATACTTAAATTGTGTGATCACAATGAGGCACTGTTTTAAATCAAAAGAATTCGAGAATACTTATGAGTGATCACAATTAAATACTGTTTTATAATCAGGAGGATAAAACTATTTTAAAAACTAAAAGGTTCAGGAAAATCCAGAGTGTGGTCACGATTTAAAATAAATTAATATTAGATGGGTTTAGAAACATCCAGAATTTGACTAAAATTGAAAATTGTTTTAAAATTAAGATAATTCGGGAACATTCAGAATATCATTACGATTAAACATTAATTTAACATTAGTACGCTTCGAGAACAATGATAGTACGATTACATAGAAATATTGTATAAATATCAAAAGAATTTAGCAATATTCAAAAGATTCATTGTTTGTTTGTTTCAGATCTTCACATTAAGCTTAATTAAGGCTATCTGCGCTAATTTTCAACTGATAGACTAGAAAAAAAGGTGGTTAGTTTATGGCACTTGCTGCGAAATATTGGACTATAATCGAATATTTCGATTTGACGATCACTATTATAATGCAGTCACGTTTTCAAAGTACAGAGCACAATTTTACGGCAACGGGGAACAAACCATTGCCCATCGGACTTACAGTCCGACACACTAACCACTTTACAACACTTGGCCATATTCAGACGAAATAGGTGGAATTGTGAATTTTAATATTGATGATTTACTCGAGTTCTAAGTATTTATGTAAAATTACATCTGAAAATTGCTCTCTAATCATGTAGTTACTGTAGAAACTAAATTTATATATGTAGATGACACCAATATTTGATAAATGCGGATATGTGACACACCCATATGTTGGATAATTAGTGCATGGGAGGATCCTTGTTTAAACTAGGACATATATAAGTGATAAATGATTTAACAGCTGCATCCCGCAAACTTTCAAGTTTTACTTTACCAAGACTAACAAGTTTTAAACGGCAGGTAATGATAATATGGAAACAGAAATCTTTCACACATTATATTGCTTAAGAAAAGGAATACTTTATTTTTTATAATAAACCGTTCACAATTTAATAGCTCTAAGGATAGAACAAAGCTTGTGTCGTGTCATTGTGTATCAAACATTGGTAAACTACTTCTATATATATCTAAGGATAGAACAAAGTTTGTGTCGTGTCGTGGTGTATCAAACATTAGTAAACTACTTCTATATATATCTAAGGATAGAACAAAGTTTGTGTCGTGTCGTGGTGCATCAAACATTAGTAAACTACTTCTATATAAAACTAAGGATAGAACAAAGTTTGTGTCGTGTCGTGGTGCATCAAACATTGGTAAACTACTTCTATATATATATCTAAGGATAGAACAAAGTTTGTGTCGTGTCGTGGTGTATCAAACATTAGTAAACTACTTCTATATATATTTAAGGATAGAACAAAGTTTGTGTCGTGTCATGGTGTATCAAACATTAGTAAACTACTTCTATATATATCTAAGGATAGAACAAAGTTTGTGTCGTGTCGTGGTGTATCAAACATTAGTAAACTACTTCTATTTATATATCTAAGGATAGAACAAAGTTTGTGTCGTGTCATGGTGTATCAAACATTGGTAAACTACTTCTATATATATCTAAGGATAGAACAAAGTTTATGTCGTGTCATGGTGTATCAAACATTGGTAAACTACTTCTATATATATCTAAGTATGAAATTCTTTATTATTACAAACAAAAAACGTTAAAGTAAGACACTCGCGACATGTATCTTGCTACTATAATCGTACAATAAGAAAATCTTAAACTCTTATGATTGAGTGTTATGGGGAATTCTGAGACAGCCGAATGAAGTTCAACCATTGTCATGTCATTTCTTGGCAATATCCTTAGTTATTTGAACAACTATATAAAAACCTGTAGCTAAATATTTTACTAAAAATTTGCATATTTCTTTCACGAGATAGATCATTCTACGGAAACTTTCCACACAGAAAACTTTGAATAATGTTTCCATGTCATACAAATGTACAATACTCAGTAGACTTAGCCTTAAATAAAACTTAATTTACCTAACCCCTTACGTCTCAGGGTGTGTAAAATAAAAGAGAGTTGAATCTTAGTTTGGTCAATTTTACACCAAATGTACAGTAAACTGAAGATTTATAGGATTCTAATTCCACATAAATGAAAATTGGTTAAGCTTGAGTGGGTCAAACATAGTAAAATGTTAGTATTAAGCTAACGTTCTAGTCACCGAAGGGTATCACAACTAAAAAATATAGAATGTGTAAATCTCTAATAATTCATACTTCATTAGGACTACATGCAGAGCATTTGGCGCAGTGAAATTCTTATTAAAATGCCAAAGTATTATATCTTTATATGCCTACTGCCATATTCATATAGTGAAAGCCAAGAAACGTTGTTCTTAAAATTTGTGCTCTGGCCACCAAAATAGATTACGGATTATTTTAAAATATAGGGCTTAGTTTTGTTAAATAAAATAACTTAGATTTCAACAAAAATTATAAAGGCGAAGCTACTTTTGAAAAACTATTTGTTAAACATTTTATACTTTGGACAATTTTGAATACTCATGTTTCAATAAAAATTTCAAAATTTCTAGAACTACTGCATTTATTTATAAAAAAATCAGTATTTATCTGATATATAAGAATAACAATAGTGTGATTAAATTATTTGTTTGTTTATAATTAAGCACAAAGCTACACAATGGATTATCTGTGCTCTGCCCACCACGGGTATCGAAACCCGATTTCTAGGGTTGTAAGTCCGCAGACATAACGCTGTACCACTGGGAAGCGTAAGATTAAATGAAATTCAAAGTAAAAAAAGTACTTAGAACAAATATGAAAAATCGTTCAAACTAAACATCAAAAACAGTCTTTAAGTGTTAGTAAACTCGTATTTATATCTAAAACACATACATAAATATTAAAGCTCACATTGTGTGTGTACTTGTAATTCAGTTGCTTACATTCTTAACAAATGTGTATGTTTAAAAACAATCGCACATTGCTTTGTAGTTAAAAGAAAAACCAATTTTTCTGTCGTGAATATAAGTTATCAAAACGTTAAGTAGAAAGAATATTATCGCAGTAAATAATTGTACTTTACACAGGATCATAACTTTAAAGTCTTCAGAGAGGCCATTGTACATATTTTAGCTTAAGTAAACACAAAAGCATTTAACTTTACAATAAATTATTTGGTATTTATTGATTATTCATACAACAAACACTAGTTGGAAGAACATTTTATTTACAAGGCCTGGCCTATTATTTAGGTTGCTCGATCGGCAATTTGCTCTTAGCGGGTTTGAAACTCATCACTCAACATGCTCGCCCTTTCACCAGATCGGTCCCACTATTTGTTTGTAAATAGTAGCCCAAGAGATGGCGGTGTTCACTAGCTACCTTTTTTTTAGCCTATTACTTCAAAATTTGTGACCGCTAGTTGAGATAGTCCCTTAGTAGCTTTGCGCAAAATGTAACAAAACAAACAAATGTATTTATAATAATTTATGTATTAAACTTTCTAGTTGATGCCAAAGAAGTGTTAAAACAAGCAAAGCTCAGAAAATCTACAGTAGGCAACGCTTGCAAACTGATCTTGGATGCAGAGATGACAAGTAAGATATTAAACTCAGATGGTACGTATAAGATTTTGTTTTGGATAGACATCACCAGGCTATCAAATATATCTGTTATAGAATTCAACTATGTATGATTACATGCAGACTTGGTCATTGCTATGTAATACTTGCGTTCTTATACTGACTGGACACTTTATTAAGGATCTTCCCATCTAATACCATGTTGGACCAATTTTCGTCGCAATAAGAGTCTGAATTCGGCGTTACGTAAACTTTTATTGTATCCTAGTCATCTACAATAGGTTGAAAAGTGTCTGCAGAGGATTATGGTAGTGAATGTGACGATATAGTACAATTTCACTGAGATCCGTTGATTGTGCTGTGACTTAAGCTCCTGCTCTTCAAATCTATTTTGGAACATCCAAATACATTGGAATGTTACATTATTGTCAAGGAAACGTCCTCGTCCATAAGGATGGAAATAAAACATCGTGGGGTGGACATAGCCAGCAACATTCGGGTGTACTCTGGATGCTATTCACCCTTCTAAAAAAATCAAAGAACTGTGTTCTCTACCACGAGAATGTTCACCATATCATTACACCATCCAACAGCTTACAATGTTAGACAACGCAAGTAGAGTCAAGTGCTTCATGTTATTTTTTAAAATTTATGATTAGCACAGCAAAGGATAAACACAACTAACTAATCCCATCACATGCTACCTGTCATTAGTCTTTTATAGCTTGTTTTCTAAACACCGCTAAAAATTCTGCTTTTCTGTTGTCATTTGAAATAAATAGGTTTTGGACTGGTTTTGAGCTATTATATGTCATTTTCTGAATTTATCTTTTTTTTTAATATAATATGATTAAAAATGTCGAACTTTATTGCTGACGTTTCATTTACAAAACCATACGATTATATTTTCCCTTTGGATTGTTGAAACAGTTCTTGGTCACAGGTTCACTAGTGGAAGAGGTTTCCTCTTTCAACTATCAGTATTGATAGACCCTGGTATTAAAGATCTTTTTGAACAGCCAGTCAAAGAAATTGTGTATAATGACGGTCCTTCTGTTATTTGGTTGGTTTAGAGCAAAGCCACATTGGGTTATCTGCTGTGACCACTGCGGGTAATCTAACTCAAGATTTTAGTGTTGTAAGTCTGTAAACTTACTACTGTCCCACCGGGGGACTCTGATATTTTGGCACCTACCGCTATACTCATAAAAGTCATAGAGAGTTTTGCTCCTGTTATCGTATTCCAGACTAACCAGGATATAACAACATCTCAACATTTATGCGAATCAAACAGTTTTTTGTCACATCACATGGTTAGGTTCTTTTAAAGTTGTAAGTAAATAAAGTATTCTTCAAATGCGTGCGCGCGTGTATGTGTGGGTGGGTTCTAATAAAGTCTTCAAGTTTCACTAGCATTGACATGATACACTGCATGAAAAGAGTTTTTGTTTTTCTTGTAGCCTTTCTCTCTTTTTTTCTCGATTAATGCATCCATACATAAAACATAAAAAAGCATTTTCCTTTGCAGTCCCTGACTCTTTGGCAGCCGAAGCTTTGTCGGAAAGGCTGAAGGAACAAGATTGTATTTCAAAAGGTTGGGTTATTTTTGGATTCCCGAACTCGATCAGTCAAGCTAGAGAACTTACTGTAATTCTTAAAGACACATCGCCACCAAACAGGTGAAAAGTTAGTTAAAGATAATCCCATAAAATGCAGTTAAAAGAGTAACTAGTATGTTTAAAAAGAAATGGAAATTTTTATTTTAATAATAGCTGTTTTACTACAATTTGCACAAAATAGAATAGTTCTTGGTATTCATTATTGTACTGATCCGTAGTAAAAACAAGCCTAATATTCAAATAACTGTATTTTTAAACATTTCTTGTTTGCATATCTCATGTCTTTGTTTTTTAAATAATATTTTAAAATGTGTCGTCACACAAACTCATTTTAAAGAGTTGGTGTTTGTTATTAAGCACAAAGCTACATAAAGGGTTATCTGTACTCTTCCCACCACGGGTATCGAAACCCGGTTTCTTGCAGTATAAGTCCACAGACATATCACAGAGAAAATATCTTTTAAAAGTTGTCATATCAATAGCGAGTGTAGCAAAGGACAACAGTAGTAAATTACGTTTCACTATCAACCAGTTATTAAGTTAATATAAAAAATTTTTAATGAGTAAGACCCGTTTCATACCAAAGATGAATATGTTTAAATACTATTAGATCTGAGTGAATTTAGTAAAATACGTAAATTAAAAAAAAAGTACTTAAAGTCAAGTCTACTTGGTTTTCAAATGCCATTATTCACGAATAAAAAGAAAATTTATTATGTTATTGAAAAATTAATGTAAAAAATTAAAATTAAAAAGTTGGAAGTAGGAGTAGCACCAAAAAGTAAGGAAACAAGGTAGGAATGGGCAGGATAAAATTACGAAACTTAGTTGGATTTTGACACGGTGCAACCTCAAAGTGGGTGTAACCATCATACCGCCCATTTCTAATTTATGTGCTTTTTCTAACTTAGTAATTGTTCAAACTAAATGAAAGGTGTATACAGCTAAATTTCTCTATTGTAAACTTTGTTTCAGTAACCAAGTACATATACATTGTATATAACCAAATTATGTGTTCCTAACGAAATGCATGATATCATAAGGGAAGTTTTTGATGTCGGAAGAGAGACAGGAAGCTCCAGTAGTCATATTTTACTTATGGGAGAAATTATAGCTATGTGACTGGTAAGTGATGGGCCAAAACAATTTTATCAAACTGCTGATTTTTGAAATTTTGAAATTTGTTGAATATTTGGAAAGGATTAACTACTGATAAAAGTCAGTTTAAGTTGGATCAAAGTACAAAGTAAAACACGAAGTAGGAATGGGTGGAACGATGCCCACACCCTCTTTGAGGCTGCACCTTGTCAGAAACCACCAAGTGTTGTAATGTTCCCGCTCCTTCCTACCTTGTTTCCTTACTTTTTGGTGCTCTCATTCTTACTTCCTAATTGTTTTATTAAAAAATTTTACACTTGTCTCATAGCTTTTTTTAGTACTAAGTCTTGAGAGTGACTGGGCTCTAGGCCTGTCCTTCTCGAAGTTTTTTTTCCATCTAGCGAGGGTGGCAGCCTTTTCTTTGGCTAGATTAATGGCTAAGGCTTGTTTTGCGTATTCAGCATTACTGTTTCTAACCTTATCTCTATTCTTGCAATAATGCTCTCTTCACTGGGACAAAGACTTTTCAAGGTTATCAACATGAGATTTTATCCTTTTCTCTAGTTTTGTTTCCCTAAAAAGTGTGTGTAAAATGCTTATAAAGTTTTGTTTACATGCTGTTTACACTGTGTTTGAGATTTTAATTTGTATTGCACATCTGTTCCATTCCTACTATAACCACCCTGATACATGCGTATCAGATCTGCTTTATGATTAAAATGACAGTTAAAAGATATAGTTATTTTAATTTCTATAAAAATATGATAAAAAAAATATCGTACTGAATGATCGTTTATTCTCATCCAACATTTTCTCGTATAAACAGTAAATGGTTTAGGCGCCACACTGTAACATTTTTCTCTTTTGTGGCTGTTTCTTCCACCAGCATGGCATGCTTTATAGAGTAGAAAGAAGTTCAAATTTGTAGATATTACAACGAAAACTTGAGTATTTATATTATTTTTTCGTATTAAAGTTTTGTTTAAAAACTCTGGATTTGTAGATGGATGTCTAAAATTTTGATTTCTTTACCTCCGTGTTTGAATACCTTTTAGTGTTTCTCCATTTGTTTAACCAACTTATGTATCATATATAGGGTGGTTTTCTTGAATGTCGCTATGAAAACTTGTCATCGTCGCCTAGTTCACCGTCGCTTTGACTCCATTGACGGTACATCGTATCATCTTGTGGACGATCCACCCCCAGATGATTTGCCTAGAAAGAGGCTACTTCAGCATCCGGAGGAAACAGATGAGGCACTATCAAAAAGGTTAACCTCCTTTTCGAAAGATTCCAAAAATATTCAGGAATTATTTGAAGATAAGTTGATAACTGTCGACGGAGAGCAAAATATCAGGACAGTGCTTGAAACCGTTGAGAACGCCATTTTTCAACCTATTCCTCGTAAAACGTTAGTAAACGCTGCTAATAATGAACTTTGAAAACAATATTTTTCAACGTACGTTCTAAATTAGAAACACTCAGTCATCATTCTGTAAATTCTAGATACTACAGTAAAAATAAACTGAATATCATAGCGTATTATATTGACAAATCATGACTTTCATGTTTCATCGTATTATAAGTCGGTATGTGTTATACTTATGTAACTTCAAAATCTAATATGTTAAAATTATACGTATAAAACATTTTACGTTTCAAGCCTTCTCAATATTCTAATAATCAGTTAAAGTACGCACAAGTGGCGCTACTTGGAAGGAACATGCTATTACATCTCATTGATGGCCGTTAAAATAACTTCAATAAAATATACTGTCGGTGAAAGATGATGTAGCTATGTGAAAACATAAAATAAAATGATTTTGAAGCATTTTAAGTAGTAGTTTCCTTTGTAATAAACTAAAAAAAATTTTATCAACTAAATATATGTTTGTATGAAAATAGTTTAAAAATAGATGCTCAGTCGTTTTCTTATTTTGATTCTTGTCATTGACAAATGCATTGAGTGAATATAATGAAAGTTAATGTCATTGAAATGTTTTCAAGAGTTACATTTTTATATCAAGATGGTACATTTGATCAAATATCTTTAATGCCAAAATTAATCTTTTATATAATAACAAAAATTCTTATGCTGCTTTCTTAATTTGGCTTTTGTTTTACATAAGGCTGGTATTTTAATAATCGTGCTTTCGCTTATTGATATTAGATATTACTCCTACATGTATCACTTTCGTAAAAAAATGTATTTTTAAGAACGTAGCTATATTTACCAACAAATATATTACTGTAAAAACATCCTAATGAAGTTTACTCATCACCTACGCATAATCTACGTTCATCGTTTTCTAGGCCTGATAATGAGCCAACTTTATTATTAGAAATAGTAATTTATTTTTCGTATTCTATTCTCGTTATAGGATAATGGCGTCAGGTTATAAAGAGGGAGATTCCTAAAATATGGCTTAAGAATTCCGAAAAAATGTAATAACGTGCTTTGAGAAAAACAATGCGAGAAAACAAAGTTAAATGAGTAATAATGGCTGGAGACGGCTTAAATGGGTAATGAAGAAAAACTTTAATATAAGTTTAACATGACAGCAAATGTACAACGTTTTTCTTCATTACCCATTTAAGCCGTCTCCAGCCATTATTAGTCTCAAAGTGGGTTCCTCGTCATCGAATTTGAAAGTTAAATGAGATCCTCGAGTTTTGAAACAAACGAACTACATTACAGAATTATAACAAAAATATTATTAATATACATGTAATTATATTTATAACCTTCTTTACTAAGTCTGTATATCAAAATTGAAATTTTATTTACCATTATACAATAAAATAATAGTTCACATTTTGTTACATTAAAAATAAATATCTTGTTCCAATGAAAAAATGTTTAATTTCTATGAATTAGCATAAAATTTTACCCTGCGAGTTATACAAGGCTGGAATGTTCGGATGCTTTAGCCAGCCGTTACTCTCAATAACCATAAAATGTTATCCTACAAATTATGGAAGTTTGTAATAATCGGATGCTTTAATAGCTGTCAATTTCACTAGCCAAAAATGTATGTTTATTTGTTTAGTATGATGTAAAATGATATTATTGTGTATTAATGTATAACGCTCTTTCAGGTTTTGCTTAATTAATAGAAAAGTTATTCCTAAAAAAATAACTTATTCACACTACTAACATCGATATTTTCATTCACTACATTCTTGATTTGTTGAAATAAAGAGGGAGGAAAAAAATAGAAAATTTATATAATACATGATTATTGGACAAAACATTAGTCATACACAACTAATCATACACGGATTTTACAATTTCAAACCCTTGAACAAAGAATTGTGAAGTAAATAGAAGTACATATAAATTCAACTCGGCCGATCTCTTAATTCAAAATATTTCTTTCCAGAAAGTGAAGCAATACTTGGAATATTTGTAATAAAACAGTTTAGTTCATCGGATTAAAAAGTGTGGACCAATTAGATTCAGATGATGAAAACTAAGTACATTTGTGCTGCCCCTCAGGCCTTTTAATGATCGATATCATATTCTCCATAACACCCCTTGGTTTCTCGTTGAAGTTTGCTCAAAATCAATTTATTAGTTTTCAGAAAGATGAGTGTTTTCTCTCATAAGCAAACAAGCAAGTGTAACCAGTAACATTTGGTGGTGCTAAGAAATAACGAGTCTCTACAAATAATGAAATCAAAATATTTTGAACTTGACGGTGCTAGACTATCAATTCTTAATACAAACACCGAAAAAAATAGGAACGTCATATAAATGTAGAAGAGATAAATAGATTACATCATATGAATAATACCAGTCGATATCGATTACAACTGTGCTCTTTAATATAATGCAAACTTAAACACTAATGTCACGTATGGCCCGGCATGGCCAAGGTGCTCTACTCGCAATCTGAGAGTCGCGGGTTCGAATCCCCGTTCCACCAAATATGCTCGCCCTTTTAGCAGTGGGGATGCTATAATGTGACGGTCAATCCCACTATTCGTTGGTAAAAGAGTTGGCTGTGGGTGGTGATGACTAGCTGCTTTCTCTCTAGTATTTCACTGTTAAATTAGGGACGGGTAGAGCAGATAGCCCTCGTGTAGCTTTGCGCGAAATTCAAACCTAACTAGTGCCACGTGTTCAATATATATAGAATTGGCAAATATCTATATCCTCAAGCAAAATCACTATTAATATTAGAAAAACAAATGTCAGATAAGCCAAACCACAGTATTACAAAATATGTGTTTATAGCATACGTAACATTACTTAGCGGTTATATACACAGAGTGAGCCAAAAGGTATATATCACATAAACAATTACTATGTTGATAGACAAAATTGTATCTATTGGGTGGACTATCGAATATCAGCTGAATTCACGTTTGATAATGTAAGTAATGGAAAATCTATATCTGATACATTGTTTTTACTCACCCTTCACAACCATCGTTATCAATGTTACATAAACCATCATGAGTAGTGTATGGTAACTTTACTTAAGGTACTTATTTTAATGTTACTCAGACCAAAAGTTCTCCTAATACACTCACTGTACGCTACATTAGGACGGCATACATATTTATATGACTTTGCTTGTATTTAGATATACTAAATAAACTATGTTCAGAAAAACCTCATTAACAATAAAACTTTCTGTACCAGAATTACGAGAAAAAAAAATACCCAGAGAAAAGAACTGCTAGGAATATGGATAAAACAAAGTTGATAAAAAGTAATAAACAGATTAAATCATATGAAAGAAATTAGTCACTGTCATTTAGATTTGCTTACTAGCAGGAGGTCAACCAGTAAAAATCACCCACTGCCTACGCGACTGTTATTAACCGAATATGTGATTGATTGTTAGAGTTATAAACCTCACAACTGAAATTATAAAACATGTTCATGATCATATTACAACCGAAATTATAGAACGTGTTCATAATCATATTACAAATGAATTTATAGAACTTGTTCATAATCATATTACAAATGAATTTATAGAACTTGTTCATAATCATATTACAACTGAAATTATAGAAGGTGTTCATAATCATATTACAAATGAATTTATAGAACGTGTTCATGATCATATTACAACTGAAATTATAGAAGGTGTTCATAATCATATTACAAATGAATTTATAGAAGGTGTTCATAATCATATTACAACTGAAATTATAGAAGGTGTTCATAATCATATTACAAATGAATTTATAGAACGTGTTCATGATCATATTACAACTCGGATCTTCACCTTCTGTTCTATAGCACGGAAAACAAAACAAATAGTGTGAAATTTAGCATATAAAGGACATTTAATTCTCAATTAAAACGAAATTTATTTTATTTATTGCCAGACGTTTTGGTTCTACACCTTTAATAAAAAGTAACATCTGCTAGTAATAAAAAACAACAATATCCTACAATAGAAAAGCTAAAATGTTTTTAAAATGATTTTTACCTGCTAATTAATAGAGTGATGTGTAAGCATTAAAAAAGAGTATAGGAACAGAGTAAATTTGATAGATGCCGTTAATAACCTTGTATACTATATCAGATATATGTAACAACAACGGAACAATATCAGACAAATTTCAAAATTCATTCTTTGTAAAAAGATATACAAAAAATTGCTAACAGTTAGTGAAGTATAAGGGGTTTCGGAAAAACCCCAACAGAAACAAAACAGTAGGCCATTCTTGTTAGACTATAGCCATTAGTGTTTAGGATATGGGCCACCAGGTATCGCTCTCAACATAATACTTGTTAAGTGTACTACATTTCCCCCAACGTTCTGTGAGCTTCATGGTGTATACATATACCCAAGTTACGTGAAATATAGATTGTTGCATTACGAATACAATTACGTACAATTGTTCTAAGAACATCTTACAACTGTTTGAAAGTATTGTCAACACACAGACCATTCTTAAGAGACTATAAACATAGAAGTCACAGGGGTTAAATTAGGACTATGTGCGGTAAAGTGATGAACTGTCCATTCAATAAAATAACGTCATATAAAACTAATGTTACACGCGGTTACCACTTTTTAATTCTTTTGCATCCTATTTTAAAATTAACAGATAATAAAACGCAGAACGATTTGTCGGGCACAATTTAGTCATATCCAACATATAGAAACTAAGATCCCGTTTCTTTTCGAACAACCCTCCTTTTTGTCATATTATATGTTTTTACAAATTTTAGTAATATAGAAGGTCTAAAAAAATGTATCTTTCTATGTAGTTCTGACATAACAAGTGGTCCAGAATATCACTGGAATCGTTTCGTTGTAGTTATTTTTATGTCTTTGTTTTCTATAACAAATATTATTTTGTTGCCCGAGGGGGGTATTTCAGTAATGTTATACGTTTATGTCGCAAAGGTCAATGACTGCAACGTTCTTCACTGGCCGAGTGGATCATGTCTGTATGTTATAGTCAACGA